TCTTTTCATTGTTTTAGTACCACAATAATTCAGATGCAAGTAGGGAAGTCCGAGCTGTGTCCCAGAGACCAGAGATGAAGGGAAGGTTCTGGGCTCCAGTTTTTCGAAAAAGTCACATAAGAAAGTATAAGATGAATTTGATCTTTCAAATAAACCTATAGTGAAACCTCGCTTCTTTGATTTTTTTGTAGTGGTGGTGACACCACTTAGAAGTAACTGGAGAGAGAGACTTATAAAGGAGAGTGAATGCAGACATCCAACTGGAAAAAAAAATTGCAGATATACAACCAATAAAACTATTCTTTTTAATAAACAAAGAGCTCTTTTATGTTATTAATAAAATAAAGAATATATATGTTTAAAAGGCAAGACATGTGAGTGGAAATTCATGGAAAAAAGAATTTACACTGCCAGTCAGTAATTCAAAATGTCTAACCTACACAAAGGAAGGAAATGAAGTTTAAAAAATGAGGTGCCTCTCTGACCAAGAGGTTGGCAAAGATTAATTGTATGTGACATAGGACACTGGTGATGGTGAAACCCATTTGTTGGATTATCTGGAAAGAATTTTTAGGAAGAAAATTTGATAATATCTTTGGTTTTCCTGGTGGCTCAGATGGTAAAGAATCTGCCTGCAATACAGGAGACCCAGGTTCGATCCCTGGGTTGGGAAGATCCTCTGGAGAAGGAAATGGCCACCCATGCTATTATTCTTGCGTGGGAAATCCCACGGACAGAAGAGCCTGATGGGCTACTGTCCATGGGGTCACAAAGAGTCAGACACGGCTAAGTGACTAACACACTTGGTGGTTAAAAACATAAATCCTTAGAACCAGCCATTCAAATCCTTTTCATAGAATGTGTCAGCCAACAGTCTTGTCTGTTTTTTAAATAATTTTATTTATTTCTTTATTGTTGACTGTGCTGGGTCTTTGTTGCTGCGAGAGCTTTCCTCTAGTTGTGGCGAGCGGGGGCTCCTCTCTAGTTGGGGTGGGGGCTTCTTGTTGCGGTGGCTTCTCCTGTTGTGGAGCCCGGGCCCGAGGGCGCGCAGGCTTCAGCAGTTGCAACCTGTGGGCTCCGTAGTCGTGGCTGCCAGGCTTGAGAGCATGGGCTCCGTAGTTGTGGCGCAGGGACTTTGTTGCTCTGTGGCATGCGGGATCTTCCTGGACCAGGGATCAAACCTGTGTCTGCTGCATTGCTGGTCAGATTCTTTACCACTGAGCCACCAGGGAAACCCTGTTTGGTTTGTTGTTGTTGTTTGTTATTTTTAGTATTGATGTATTTGGCTGTGCCGATTCTTACCTGTGGCACATGGAATCTTTCAGTTCTGGCATGTGGGATCTTTAGCTGCAACATGTGGGATCTAGTTCCCTGACCAAGGATGGAACCTGGGCCCCCTGCACTGGGAGCATGAAGTCTTAGCCACTGGACCACCAGGAAAGTCCCTAGTCTTCCCTGTTTTTATAGTATAAATGTATCTAAGGACACTCAGGGCTTCCCAGGTGACTCAGTGGGTAAAGAATCCACCTGCAATGCAGGAGTCATAAGAGACGTGGGTTCAATCCTTGGGAAGATCCCCTGGAGGGCTTGGCAGCCCACTCCAGTATTCTTGCCTGGAAAATCCCATGGACAGAGGAGCCTGGTGGGCTCCAGCCCATAGGGTCTCAAAGAGTCAGGCATGAGTGAAATGACTGAGCACACACAAGGACACTCAAGTAACATTAATAATGGTTGCTTTGGGGATGTGGAGAAGAAAAGAGATGTCTGCTTTTCATTTTTTCCCACTTTTGTACTGTTTGAACATTTTATTTTATTTTTGTTGTTTGAACATTTTAAAAATCAGATGTTAAAATTGTTTTCTAGACATACCAACTTGCTTAACAATAAAATAAATCTTACCTCTGGTCTTAGGATCTTCTTAAATTCTTTGTTTAACAACTGAACCGTCAATGTGCAGATGAAATATGAGATGTTTTCTTAATCCATTGCCTCATACACCAAATATAATCATTCAGCAGAGTAATCTTGCTGGGCCTCACTGGGTCCTATGCCCTGTGGCTGTGTGCTTAAGAAACCAGCTACAGGTTTCTCCTGTAGGTTCTCCTGCCCCAGAGCCTTGCTCTTACCCATCCAGTCTGACTGTCCCAGACCCACAGATACCATCCTGTTTCATACCACATCACATACCCTCTGCCCTGCACTTCTAGGGTGTCCTGGAAGGTAAAGAGTGGTGGTAGGACTTGGGCCGGGAGTAGGATAGGAGTAGGCAAGAATTAGAGGGGCTGAGAACTAGGAGAGGAGCTACGTGATCAAAGAAGCAACGACAGTGAGGGCAGTAACTGCGTATTGATGATTAACTGGGACCTGTATATTCAGTTTTAATGTGTTCTGTATTTTGTGTAAGCTCATGAGCCCTGGGAAAGTCAGCATTGTGAGCCCTGTTCTGCAGGTGAGGTGACATGCTCAGAGAGTCCCTACAGGTACTGAAGCAGCTGAGCTGGAATTCAGAACAAAGCCTGCTGCTGCTCTGTGTGAGCAGCTCATGTGTCGGGGGGGGGGGGGGGGGGCNGGGGGGGGGGGGGGAGGTGGGCACTAGGGAAGGGGTCCATTGACTGTCTCAAGGGGTCACCTTACAATTTAGCTCCAGGCGTCATGATGCTGGGCCTGTCTCAGAGATATTGGACTCTGGAAGGACTAAAGTCTTCGGCTGTGTTAGTTGTGATTGTGCGTGTTTGTGGAGGGGCATCAGGCAGGAGAGATGAAGAGGAATGTCTGATCTGGCAGAGTCTGAAAAGAATGACATTCCTTCTTGGGAATGGAATTATCAGCAGTACTTTATTATTTGTGATTACCGCTCAGTCCATCAGCAAATACTGCAAACCCACCATTCTTGATGGAGCTGTCCCCTCCAGTGGATCCGGCTGGGCTAGCCTTGAATCGTGACCAACCAGGGGCAGCCTCAGCCGCCTCAATCCCCCACGGTCGCCGATTCAGCAGATTCATGTATCCTGGGCTGCAGAATGCTGAGGCAGGCGATTCGTCTTTGATTTTCCTTTTCATCCCCCATGAGAGCCTCACATAGTTTTCCCTACAAACTGGCTGACGTCCCACTACCAGGAGAGGCTCAGAACTGGTATGCCTGGAAAAGTCCCCCATGGCCACAAGGGGAGCAGTCTCTCTAGATGGGGTTGAGGTTGCCCTAGCTATCTAGCAATGGTGGCTAAAGGGTTGGGGGGCCGCTAGATGCCATGGGAGGGACTGAAAATTAGTACCCCCTGAGGAGGAGTGCTGAAGTCACTGGCAAAGATTCTGGTGGCTTTTCTTAGACGAATGCCTTCAGTCTCCCCTCAGAATGTTGCTTTCATTTTTTTTCAGTCTGAGGGGCAGCCCTGATGCTGGGCCTGGGAGACGCAAGTGCGAGTGTCAGGCTGTGTTTGCCGAGAGCCTGGATGGAAGGTTCTAGTCCTCAGTGAGTGTGTTCTGAGTTCCTGGTATTGTGCTGGGTACTTGAGGCGTGTTACCTGGTTTTCCCCTCACCTCAGCCACATCAGGTAGGAGGCTCCTGCTCTGGAGATGAGGCTGCTAAAGCTCAGAGGCTCATGGCCCCAGAGTGGCTGGAGTTCTGGTGTGGGTAATGCGGGCGCCAGAGCCAGTGTCTCTCTGTGTTGTTCCCAGCAGGACCAGGGCTGTGTGGACCAGGCCCCATGTAATCTCGGGGGGATGATGTCTGTTTCAGGCTGCCCCTCTGGATGGTAGGGGCTGTGTTTTTAAGGGCCCTCAAGGAGCTGGGCAGATGCTGGCTTTTCTCAGGACCAAACAGTCCTTGCTGCTGAGAGCATGTGGGTCAGAACAAACCCTTGTTTCTCTTAGTCAGAGCGCTTCCCAGACCCTCTGATCCATTCTCCCTTACCTCAGTGGCGAGTCTCCCGTCAGGAGAGGGGCTGCGTATTGACAAACATGCCAGTAAGCGCATCCCCACCCCCCACCCCAGGAGTAATCGTGTGGCAGGGCCCTGGAAGACTGTGGAGCAGGCCTGGTTGAGGAGACTGCTCAGGGGGCGAGTCCACCTTGTTCCCGGCCCTGGCCTGCCCCCTGAACCCCAGCCCCGGCTCTGGCCTCCGCGCCTCTTCAGCACTTCCATTCTGCACCGTACAGTGGCGCGTGTCCCCGCAGCCCCTGTTATCATCTAGAATCTGGATGTTTCCTGTTCTGCTCTGCTTATTTCCTGGAGGGACTGGACTATGCCTTCCCGTGACACCTGGAGCTCTCGACCCATCTGTGTCTGTGGAGTCTCCCTCTCTCCCCTCTCGCCCCTGCCCCGTGGCTTGTCTGAGTGGCCTGACTCTTGTCTCATATACTCTTAGGTCAGCATTCTCTCACACTTGAGTAAGCCTGGGTTTTTTTTTTTTTTTTGGCAGGGGGCACCTGCTAGACTTATTTATGAGGCCTCTTAATTTATAGTTAGCTGGATCCCATTTTACTCCCTCATGTGACTCTCACTCCTGCCGAGGGATTTTGCCATCACTGTGTGCAAACATTAAAGACTACGTTTTGTCCAGAGGTCCCAATTTGGCAAAAGGCCCAGGAGGGCCACAAGCTTGTTAGCAGTGTGTTGGGTGTCCTGGGGGCATGAAGAACAAAACTGAGGCCTGGTTTCTTGATGCAGGGCTTGATGGGCCCTGTGAGCTCAATGGGGACTTGGGTGAAGGCCCTTGGGAAATAGTCAGCTTTTGTGAGGGGGGTGGGCACCCCATCATTGGATATGAAACTGATTCTTCATGTGTATCCTAAAAGTAATATACAAGTGCTTAGCATTAAGAAAAAGAATAAGGCAATACATAAAAGTGCATAGAAAAATGTAAGACCCACTTTTTTCACCACATCTCATCACCCAGAGATGACCAGTGTTTATGGCAGGATTCTTGGGTTTTAAGTTTTGGTCTCTGTGAAACAGTTACGCCTTGTCTTTCCTGAACTAATAGTGGCCCTTCTCTCTACAGAACATGGAGAGTTCCTGGCTCTGGACCTGGGAGGGACCAACTTCCGTGTGCTTTGGGTGAGAGTAACAGACAATGGACTCCAGAAGGTTGAGATGGAGAACCAGATCTATGCCATCCCCGAGGACATCATGCGAGGCAGTGGCACCCAGGTATGAGCCTTCTCTTGGGGTGGCCANCTTTGGGTGAGAGTAACAGACAATGGACTCCAGAAGGTTGAGATGGAGAACCAGATCTATGCCATCCCCGAGGACATCATGCGAGGCAGTGGCACCCAGGTATGAGCCTTCTCTTGGGGTGGCCACGGGGCTCTGGGCCCTACAGGAGCAGGTAATGCTCCTTCTCTGTGGTCTTGGAGGGAGGAGACCTTGACTCCCCTCTTTGCCGGATGATGCCTCTCAACACCTGGAGGCTAGGTGGGGGGCCCCATTGGGAGAGGTACATGTGGCCAGAGAGCATATGCATGAGACCCCAGGGTCCGGATGTGCTTTAGTGGGAGGGATTTTGATTTTCGGTCTCATCTGAGCTCTGCTTGTATGCACTGGTGATTGAGGAATCTGATGTCAGGAGGCTGGGCCAGTATACCTGGATACCTATGGTTAGTGGTATCATTGAATAGCAAGTCAGGAGAATACATGATTGTGGTTTCACACTGCCACCTGTCACGGTGATTGTTCTGACTCACCGTTGTTAGCCTAGCAAAGCATGAAAATGGAACCTGCTTCTTAACCGTTTTGGTTATTTGCTCTCCCTCTTTTTGACATTCTAAAACAGAAGAGGTTTTACACACAGGGATGGGACCCGTGTTGTAAAAATCCAGCTTTGGGGTGTCTCTTCCACTTGGCACTGCAGTGGGCTCTGTACTTCCACACTGGCCCCAAATCATGCTAAGTCATCCCCACATCTCTGTGACCCCAAGTCACACTTTGTACTCAGCACATACAATAGAAAGAGTGGATGGAGAAGAAATGTGAAATCCAAGTAAGAGTCATTTCAATAATAGCTAGAAGAGAACAAGCGAGGATGGACTTGCCATCACAATAGTGTCTGAACATGTGTTGAGCATCTTCTGTGTACTGGGTCATGGATCCTTGCTGGGAATCAAAGTCCTGGTCTACCCTTTCTGTTATTCAGATCCAACTGGACCACAAAGACACACACATTGGCCCACAGAAAGTAATACATGTTGTGCAGGAGGAAGAACTGACAGGAGTCAGACAGAGTAAAGGCGCTTTCTGTGGATTTCTTTTTATCCTCACACTAGCCCTAAGGCTGGGTGCTTCTATTCTGTCCACTTTTAGATGTGGAACTGGGCTTTGAAAGATTGAGTAACTTGGCCTTAGATTACAGGGGGCGGGGAGGGGCCAGAGGCAAGGCACAAAGCCAGATCCAAATGACCAGAGCCTGTGTTTGTCCGACCCTAGGAGGCTCTATCCACTTTTTAGGCCCCATGATGTGGCCTGTGGGAATGGTGCTTCCTGGAATTAGGCAGTATGGTGGTCTAGGGTCCCTACTACCTGCCCCTGCTTCCAGAGTAGAAAGCACTCCCCAAAGGGGCTGGTGCTAACTCTTGGGGGCTCTCTCTCTCTCAACAGTTCCCCCAGGAGAGCCTTCCTACAGAGGGCACTCATTGCCACCACACCAGAAGTATCTGGTTGGTTGGTGGGTGATGGCCACAGGTTCAGCCATTGTTCTGTCTTTCGGTATCCAAGAACAATGGTATATCCCCTTTCACCTGCTCTGCAGGTGAAAGAAGCTTTCTTGGGATGTTCTTTCTCCTCCTACTCTAGCTGCTGTCAGTTCATGGAGCGGAATCACCAAAGACATCCCTGGATACTAGCACAGCTATAGGGATCACTCTGGAGTGCTGGCTATTCCTGCTGTGTTTATTATACCTAATATGTACTCAATAGAAGTGTGAATGGAGGGAGGCGATATCTAAGGAAGGGACTCCTCGCATGGTCATCTCTTGAGCCTTGGAGCTTGGAAGAGGTGGAAACGTCTCACTTCTAATGCATTGTTCTTCCCACCACACCTGACCACCTCCTGGGAAAGAAATTTCGGACCATGAGTAGGACTTGTAGGGGAGACAGTTTTAGACCCTTTGTGTGTCCTTGGGGATGGCCCTGAGGGTAAACCTGCTGTCCTTGTTTCAATGCTGGAGTTGGGCAAGGGAGTCTCTGGGACTGTAGGATTTGAGCTCCACTGAGGTTGTCATGTGGCTCCAATATACAGAAACTAAACGTGTTAGTCCAACAAATCTATGAAACCCATCTGAAAGAAATTATGACTTGACTGCAATATAAATGCTTCCAATAGATTTTAAAAATGCTGTATAAAAATGAAACAAAGAAAACTAGAAAATACAGGTGCTCATTTCATTCCAAGGAAGGGAAAGAATGCTATCATTGTAAAAACTGCAGAAAACACTTGGTAAAAAGATTGGAAGGAAATTCGTAGTGGCTGTTTTAGTGGTAGAATTATTGGTGCTTTTCCCCCCTATATTTTCCTTTTTCTTTCTTTTTAAAATATTATCTATCAACCTTTAATTATAGGAAAACAAATGGATTTAAAAATAAAATTTAGTTAAAACCATGACCAAATCACCATACTCAAAACTTGAAAAGGCTTTTGAAGATCTGTGAACCTGGGTAGTATGAGTCCTGGACAAAATCTGTCTCATGGCCCATGAACTTCCACTTGGGAGCAGTGAATTACAAATTTTAATAGCAGCCAGTTTAGATTTTTTAGTGTTTCCTGTGAGAAGGTGAGTGAACAGATTCTCAGACTAATAAGGGAAAGGAAGCCTTTCTCCCTTCATAAAATAATGCCCTTTGAGCCTTTTTATGGCAGGAAAGTGTTAGTTCTTTCTCCCAGTATCTTATCCTTAGATCATCAGCTAACAGAAAAGGAGATAGTCATCCTTTAAAGGAAGCAGATGGTCTCCTCCTCCCCTCTTTTAAAGAGCTGCAGGTTCTTCTAGCCCAACACTGTCCAATAGAACTTTTCAGAGTGGCAGGACTGTTCAGTATCTGCCCTGTACTGCGAGACAACCACTAGCTACTTGCAGTATTGAGCACTTGCATATGACTAGTGTGACTGAGGAAGTGACTTTTTAAATTTTAAAAATTCTAATTAATTGAAATAGCTACAGATGGCTGGTGCTACTGTATTGGGTAACACATTATCTAATGCCTCTTCACTGCCTCTCTCTTTTTTTTCCTGCCTACCCATGTTGGTAGTACAATTGGAAAGAGCAATGGTCAGGGCTGGGAGAGGGGAAACCATTTCTCTTTCTTCAAACCCTCCCCCTATCTCTGATGATTGGCCTTATCTCTTTGCACAGCTTCTGTAACTTCCTTTTTTTGGGTAAAACTATTGTACTAAAGGTAATTTTGATTAGAGTACCCGGAAGAAGGTGCTGGGAATTTGTTTAACCCTATTGTAAATTGTGTCACTCATCAGCTTGCCAACAGAACAGAACTTGCTGAATATCTATCCAGAAACCCTATTTCCACATTAAAATCCTTGATCTCTGCTCAAGGGAGTTGGCACTTAGGCATTGGGGATCCTCTTAGCGAGAGAGCTCTGTCATTACCCAGCAAGTACTCTTGAGAAAGTTTTGGCTTGGAAATTGAGTGTTTCGGCATTACTTGAGGCTAATTTTACACATGATCAGACAGAGACAGGATCCACTGGGAAGTTCAGTTAGAGCCAGCCCCCTTCTAGAAGGGGCTGGCCTTGTTTTCCTAGATTCTTCCCATTGACTGAGCATACCCCAGACATCTGGGGGCCAGTGCACCTCTTAACCTACCCTGTCACCCCAAGGCTCTCAGTCCCTTTGTAAATGCAAATACTTTTGGTGGTTTAGTGCAGTGGTTCTCAAACCGCTGCTTCAGGATTACTTCGAAGGCTCTACCACCACCACCTTCTGATTCAGGAGGTTTCAGTTTGGACATGCTGCCGCTGCTGCTGCGGACTATACTTTGGGAGTACCTGGACTAGTGGAATCTTCCTTGCTTCTGCCTGGAAAAGAAAAGGAACATTATCTTCTTTTACCCCTCTTGGCCTTTAGATTTTGCCATCTGGTCAACCTGGCTGTTTGAATCTGCTCAGTCTTTTGGACCTTTGCTTACTTTTTGCACCAGAATGTTCCTGGCCTCAGCCTCTGTGTCGAAGGGGTCACCAATTTCTCTTTGAGGATATTGACTGGGGAAAAAGGAAGCCAAGGGGCTATGGGCTTTGGGACAAATTGAAAGTGGATGATTTCTTGGGCTTACAATTTTTCTTAGGAGCTTCGGATCCTGCCTCCAATAGTTATGGTTATGAGGCTGCCCATCCACAGACCCTGTTTCTTTTTCAGTGCTCTTTGTGACTCACTTAGGTTCTCATGTTGAAGTTAGGAAACAAAGATAACTTCTTGGAATTGCCCCCAGAAGACTGGAGGAAAGATCTAAGAGTTACTTTTGTTAAGTTCATTTATAGAATGCCAACAGAGAATGTCCCGTCCCCTCCCGCAGTCACAAGAGACTGGGATGCTAAAATACTTGTTGGCAGTCAGATAGGTTGCCCTTTCTGGTAAGATAATCAGCTGTGCATCCATGTCAAGGGAGGTTCTGACAGAGCCACTAAAGGGTATTCTGTTCCTAGGGCGTGTGATGACTTTCTGATTAGCTCTGGCTGCAATTTTTCCCTGCCCAATGTGGTTATTTTGATAACTGCATTGTGGTTTGGATAAATAGTCTAAGTGGAAGACAGAATTTAATAATCACTAACTAGTGTTAAGTCCTTATATGTGTTGACTCATTTAATCCTTTTGGTAACTTGTAAACAGGTCTAGTTATCACCCATTTTACAGATGAACAAATTAAAACTTCAGAAGGGATGCATATCTTGCATGTACTCAGCCACGCTAGTTCCTTTCTGAGCCCAAATCCATGCTCTTAATCTCTATCCTTTCTGCCTCCCTGCTCATCTTCCTGTGTCGTGCCCTTAGCTGTTTGATCACATTGCTGAATGCCTGGCCAACTTCATGGATAAGCTACAAATCAAAGAAAAGAAGCTCCCTTTGGGTTTTACCTTCTCATTCCCCTGCGTCCAAACAAAACTGGATGAGGTAAGATGAATCCGACATTTTTGTTGCTTCATTCTTTGGAATGGGAGGACTGGAAAGAACTTTGAGCTACTTGCTACTATGGTGATGGAGCTTGCTCTGATGGATTACATGGACAATGTTTGAATATTGGGAGATCTGTCCTTCTAATAGAGTGTGTGTAGGTGTATGTGAGAGGGATGGTAAAGAGGTATTGGAAAAGTGGGGAGTCTTAATCACTGTCCCCTCAGATGACTAAATGCAGGCCGACATACATTGCACATTATCCTTATCCCTCTTAGGGAAACAGGAGTAAGAAATTCAGGGACTCCTTTGTTCTAAAGTGTCATAATAAACATCCTTGAAAGTTTACAATATTAGGATACAAGAATTGTATTTTGGCAGTTCTATAGCCTGCTTCTTGGGGACAGTAAATCATTCATTTAACCTCCTCACTTGGTCTCTAACATAGTTTCTCCTTCGTAGGCTAATAAGGAAGACCTGTATAAAGTCAGTCATGACTTTAATTTAGCCCCATGGCAGAGGTCTTCTAATGGTGAGGAGTATGGACTGAGTTTTGTGGGAAATCAATATTCCTTTGTCCTTTTCCAGAGTTTCCTGGTCTCGTGGACCAAGGGGTTCAAGTCCAGCGGTGTGGAAGGGAAAGATGTGGTTACTCTGATCCGGAAGGCCATCCAGAGGAGAGGGGTGAGTGGGGGCAGCCAAGGGGGATGCAGGGCTTGGGGTCTGGAGGCCCTTTACATTCTTTTGAGTCCGCTCTGAAGGCTTGCCTTGTCCGTCCTCAAATCGGCATGAGGATTTTTTATGGGTCTTAAGGAGAGGTTTTCTTTTCTTCTTCTCTGTTATGTTATCAAAAAAAATCTTTGTTTTTTTCCCCAACTTTATTGAGAGTTAGCTCAACATATAGTGTGTGTATGTATAGATATAGATATATCACATTATTATACATTATATATATATTATAAGTTTAAGGTGTGCTGCATAATGACACACCCGTATACTGAGAGACAATTAGCACACCAGTGATCTTACATATGATCAGATGCCTTTGGGCTCTTTAGATTAGCATGATGGACAACCACTCTTAGCCTTGGTAAAAGAAAAACCCTCATTTTCAAATGAGACGTTTGGGGTTTATGTTGGTATCAGGGTGGAATGGGGCAGAGAAAGGACATGATAAAGGTCTAGTCACAGAAAGGCAAGACCTACTGGGAGGGAGGGAAAGAAAGAGAATAAGAAGAAGACAATGACAACAAGACAGGCTCTTTTTTTTTTTCCTTTATTTTTATCAGTTGGAGGCTAATTACTTTACAATGTTGTAGTGGTTTTTGCCATACATTGACATGAATCAGCCATGGAGTTACATGTGTTCCCCATCCCGATCCCCCCTCCTGCCTCCCTCTCCATCCGATCCCTCTGGGTCTTCCCAGTGCACCAGCCCCGAGCACTTGTCTCATGCATCCAGCCTGGACTGGTGATCTGTTTCACACTTGATAATATATATGTTTCGATGCTGTTCTCTCAGATCATCCCACCCTCACCTTCTCCCACAGAGTCCAAGAGACAGGCTCTTCTTAGCGTAGTAATGGCTGTGAACTAGACTGCAGGCCTGCTGTCAGGGAAGTCCTCTATGATGAAGACCGTGGGGTGGGAAGTGAGATGCTGCCGTGAGACTGGATTTGGACCCAACTTCCGGCTCTAGCCCTGCACTTGAGCTGTGTGCCTTATTGCTCTTCCATCGTTGCATCTGTAGTCTTCCTGTGACAGTGAAAGTTAGGGCCCCCCTTGTATCCCTGCAGGACTTTGATATCGACATTGTGGCTGTGGTGAATGACACCGTTGGGACCATGATGACCTGTGGCTATGACGACCAGAACTGTGAGATTGGTCTCATTGTGGGTACGTGAACTCTGGGTGTGAGCGCTGTGGGTATGTGAACGCAGTGCTGGCCGGTGGATTGTGGCAGTGGGCTGCCAAGAGAGGAGGAGTCCTTGGCCTGCATCTTCCTTTGTATACCCTGTCAGAAGATAATGGTGTGGTCACTTTTGAGGGCTGAGCCAGGACTTGAGGAGTTGTGGGTGGTAGTGGGTGGAACTGTGTCGAGATGCCCCAGGAGTCTGCAGGGAGGAATCCCAGTCACATTGAGTGGTCTGAGGACAGTTTTAAGAGGGAGATGGGGGCAGGGGGCTGGGGGAGGACAGTGTGAGTGGGTGCTGAGCATTCTCTTGTTTTGTCCAGGCACGGGCAGCAACGCTTGCTACATGGAAGAGATGCGCCACATCGACACGGTGGAGGGCGATGAGGGCCGGATGTGTATCAATATGGAGTGGGGGGCCTTTGGGGATGACGGCGCGCTTGATGACATCCGTACGGAGTTTGATCAGGAGATCGACATGGGCTCTCTGAACCCCGGGAAGCAACTGTGAGCGGTCCCCTGTGTGCAGTGGGCTCAAGGGTTTGGGCTCAGCAGCTGAGGTGGGGTCTGGCCAGGTCTAGGGGGTGGTTCTTATTTTTACTTTGCAGCTTTATATATAGCCCCTAAAGTTGCCAGGGCACCCACTGCTTATGGAAATGTGCTTATTACATATATTGTGACTGTCAGTTGCTGAGAGCTGTTTACAAAAGAGCAAGTGGACAAACCAGATTATGGCTAATAATTTGACTCTCAAGAGTGGTCATTTTAGAAGATCGTATTCTAAGTGTGCTGCCCTGCTCTTTCCCTCTGCCTTCAGTCTGTACGTTGTCCAGAGAAACAATTTTTGCACCACGTAAGAAAAACCATGTTGAGATAGCAAAGATAAGGTATCTGGAAGCTCGTTTCACAGCTCCTACCTCTGTCACTGCCCAGGGCACAAGGCTGAGAGTCGGCTCCTAATTGCTGCCTATTATGAGCTAGGCTGAATTGCAGGAGTCCCAGGGCCTCTTGCTATAGCTGTAGGCAGACCCAAGGCCTGTAGAAAAGTTGGTTAAGGAGCCCCTTTGGCTACCTTCTCTGGACCTGTGGTTCAACCAGGGTCCTTGAGTAGCCTGGAGGAGGGCTCTAACTGTTTTTTTTGGTCCCTGGGTGCTATATTCTCCAACCTGGTCAGACTTAGTTTTTGGTTACTTTTGATTCTTACAAAACGTTATTTCAGTCTCACAAACGTTTGCCTAATGTCCTTATTAAAGATCTTGAAACAGGGATTGCCACAAGCTCTAAAGGCAATTGCAAAACGTTTTGAGCAATCAAGTCCTCTCTGGCCTTTTTTTTTGAGCCTTGTGGGATCTTAGTTCCCTGGCCAGGGACTGAACCAGGGCCCTCAACCCTGAAAGCTCGGAGTCCCAACAACTGTACCACCAGGGAATTCCTAGGCCCTCTATGGTCTTACTGGTGCTGTGACTGTTGTAGGAAATCTAGTACTTATCCCTGCTTGGAGGGGAAAATCCAGCCTTATAAACCAGCTTTATAAGAGAGGCTTTTGCTTTACAGCGGTGTGCAGGGTGTCCTTGCTTCCTCAAAGCACAGCTTATTTAAGCCACAATCTTCTCTCACGTGTTCAAAAGTGAGTCCATTCATAGAATACTGGCTGTGTCTGCCACGGCTGGTGAGAAATTCATGGACAGAAAAAATTGCTCAAAAAACAAACAAAAAAAGGCTGGGAGGACATATTACCAATGCATCAGCTGTCCCTGAAGTTATTGCTGGGCTTGAATATGAATTTTTTTCTCACTGGTTATATTTCTAAATAAATGTGTTCCAAACACTGACTGAAACTCTAAAACCTGAGATAAAAGCTTTTACCACTCACACTTCAGAGCCACTGGCCCCCTCCACTACCTCTCACAGAACCAGCTATTTTGGGGAAGGTACAGAGTAGACACGCGAGTTCCTTACTGCTGAGGCTGGGCTGCCTCTCAGGCAGCGTGCCTGTGTCGGTGCTTAAACATTTTAAACATACCTCCTGCTCAGACAGTTTCACCAGCTCTCCACTTAGCTCTAGTCCTGCCATACCTGTTTGTAGGTCTTGGGCAAGTCACTTCCTGAGGGCCCGGCTTCCTCTCTTGTAGTTTGCAGCAGGTGACTTCGGAATTTCTTCCACACCCTGCTCTGGGCCTTCTTTGAAGGCCCTGTGTGCCTCTTCTCTCTAGGACCCAGATCCTTTCTAAGATATCATGAAAGGGCCTTTTTTTGGCTAGAAAGAATTGTAAGGGCTTGGTTTCTCCTGTCATATATCTAAGCCAGAAAGACTGCCTTATGGAGACAACAGTGTCACCTAGTGTTGAAAAAATAAATTACCCAACTTCCCTCTCAGCTATCTTGTCACCTTCCTGCTCAGAAACATGTCTCCCTTCCAGATTCCCCAAACCAGGTGACACTGAGAGCTCCTTCTCCTCCGTCCTGACCTGTCCTTCTATTCTTGCCCAATCCCCCTTCCATCCTTCTGTTTTCTCAGGAAGCCACAAATGGCCTGCAAGGGGAAGGAAGTTTGAAGTGACGAGTTGCTAGCCCTGTGCACCCAAATTTAATTAGAGTGACCTGGTTTTTTTCCCTGCTTGAATAAATACTGAGGTTTTGCATAAGAATTCATTTAAATACAGCATTTCCTTGCTAGAGAAAAAGTCAATTTAAAAATTGCTACCCTACCACATAACCCACTTCACCTCAAATTCAAGCTTTGGTAGAGTGTCCCACACTCCCTGGATGTTTGGTTTGGCTGCCAAAGGACCCTCCTCCATAGTTCAAGGCCCACCCGCCTGCAGAGACAGCCTGAGCTCCCAGTGCCTCCAACCCCATTTGTGCCCGCCTGTCACTTCGACTGGAGAAGGAAATGGCAGCCCACTCCAGTGTTCTTGCCTGGAGAATCCCAGGGACGGGGGGCCTGGTGGGCTGCAGTCCATGGGGTCGCTAAGAGTCGGACACGACTGAGCGACTTCACTTTCACTTTTCACTTTCATGCATTGGAGAAGGAAATGGCAACCCACTCCAGTGTTCTTGCCTGGAGAATCCCAGGGATGGGGGAGCCTGGTGGGCTGCCGTCTGCGGGGTTGCACAGAGTCGGACACGACTGAAGCGACTCAGCAGCAGCAGCAGTCACTTCTCTACCCATCTCACTCCTAGTCAGTGCCACACAAGTTTGCACTTTTAGGTGCCATGTGTACATGCTGCTTCCACAGGGACGTGTCAAGTTTGCTGGCAGCAGAGACTTATTTTGTTTGTATTTTGTTTGTATCTCTCTCTGCAGATTTGAGAAGATGATCAGTGGAATGTACATGGGGGAACTGGTGAGGCTTATCCTAGTGAAGATGGCCAAGGAGGAGCTGCTTTTTGGGGGGAAGCTCAGCCCTGAGCTTCTTGCCACAGGCCATTTTGAGACCAAAGATGTTTCAGATATTGAAGGGTAAGCTGTGGGTCTTTTTCTGTTTGCTGGGACCTCAGAAGGGTGGACAGATGGCTGGGGAGTGAGGAAGAGGCACAGGCTGTTGACCCTTCAGACGTGGACAGCAGGAGGGTCTCACCCAGCGTGAGGCTTGGCCTTACATGGCAGGCCTGTGGCTTGATGTCACTTGCCAGATATTTTCCGTTTGTGTCTGTTTTGAATGTGCCGACTACCAGGGTGACTCATGGTGCTGGGGAGAGCTGGCCCCCATACAAGGAGTTTCACTTTTACACTCATGTTCCTGTCTGGCACAGTGAGCTCAGCTTCATGCTAGAGGCTCCCTGTCAACCCTTTAATGATTCATTTTCATCTACTTCTCTTTTCCTGGAGCCCTGGCATTTCATTCCCTTTTGTTGTTTAGTCGCTAAGTGGTGTCTGACCCTTTGCNGTAGCATTTGCCTGTCTGAGTGTGTTGATATTTCTTCTAGCAATCTTGAAACCAGCTTTGAGTCATTAAGCCTAGCATTTCACATGATGCATTCTACATATAAATTAAGTAAGCAGGGTGAGAATATATAGCACTTATGTACTCTTTTCCCAGTTTTGAACCAGTCCATTGTTCTCTGTCCAGTTCTAACTCTTGCTTCTTGACCTGCATACAGGTTTCTCAGGAGGCAGGTAGGTGGTCTGATATTCCCATCTCTTTAAGAATTTTCCAGTTTGTTGTGATCCACACAAAGGCTTTAGTATAGTCAATGAAGCAAAAGTACATATTTTTTTTTAATTTCCTTGCATTTTCTATGATTCAACAGATGTTGGCAATTTGATCTCTGATTCCTCTGCCTTTCTTAAGTCCAGATTGTACATCTGTAACTTCTTGGCTCACGTACTGTTGAACCTAGTTTGAAGGATTTTGAGTGTTATCTTGCTAGCATGTGAAATGAACACAATTGTATGATAATTTGAACATTCTTTTGAACTGCCCTTCTTGGGATTGGAATGAAAACTGACCTTTTCCAGTCCTGGGGCCATTGCTGAGTTTTCCAGGTTTGCTGGCATATTGAGCCCAGCACTTTAACAGCATCATCTTTTAGGATTTGAAATAGCTCAGCTGGAATTCCATCACCACCACTAACTTTGTAGCGATGCTTCCTAAGACCTACTTGACTTCACCTCTAGGATGTCTGGCTCTAGTTGAGTGACCACACCATCGTGGTTATCTGGATCATTAAGACATTTGTGCAATTCGTCAGTGAATTCTTGCCATCTTTTTAAAATCTCTGCTGCTTCTTTTAGGTCCTTGCCATTTCTGTCCTTTATTGTGCCCATCTTTGCATGAAGTGTTCCCTTGATATCTCCAGTTTTCTTGAGGAGATTTCTAGTCTTTCCCAGGCTATTGTTTTTGTCTATTTCTTTGCATCGGTCACTTAAGAAGGCTTTCTTCTCTCTCTTGGTGTTCTCTGGAACTCATTTAGTTGGGTGTATCTTCCTTCTCTCCTTTGTCTTTCACTTCTCAGCTATTTGTAAGACCTCCTCAGACAATCATTCCCTACTGGCCACTTTCAGAAAGGGCTCTATCCTGACTCCTGCTTCATAACAGAAAAAGAAGTCCTTGGACGGCCCATTAGTTCCAGAAGTTAGAGTTGAGGCCTGCATTTTCACAGGGCAGTGGGAGTGGGAGTGAGCACGGCCTGATTTTTGTTTTTCAATCAACGATATCTGAAAAGTTGGACCTGGTTTCCTGTCTTTTTTTTTTTCTTTTAAACTGCAGCTTTATTTATTTACTTATTTTTGACTGTGCTGTGTCTTCATTGCTGTGCAGACTTTCCTCTAGTTTCAGTCAGTAGGGGCTGCTTTTCATTGCTGTGCATGGACTTTTCACTGTGGTGGCTTCTCTTGTTGTGGAGTGTGGACTCCTGGGCTTCAGTAGCACGTGGGCGAAATAGTTGTGGTTCCCGGGTTCTAGAGCACAGGTTCAATAGCAGTGGCACACGGGCTTAGAGTCTCTGTGGCATGTGGGATCCACCCAGACCAGGGATTGAACCCGTGTCTCCTGCATCGGCAGGTGAATTCTTTGCCACTGAGCCAGCAGGGAAGCCCTGGTTTCCTCTTCTTGAGACTTCCACTTGTCACTTGAGGTGGCCTTGTTTCAGGCACCAGATGGTGGAGAGAAGATGATTTTGGGGCTAACAGGAGCAGTGAGACAGTCCCAATGACTTTGTTTTTAGTGGGATACTTGAATGAACTGTACCTGCTTGTTAAACTTGGAGGAGATGACAGTGCTCGGTATTTGTGGACACTTAGTTCCCCTAAGAAGAGGGCTAATCTCAAAGCATCAATCCTTGACCAACATCTCTAGATGCAAGTTAAAGCAGTGCCAACTCCATTGTGAAGTGCAACCGACTGACTGCTTGATAGAGAGAAAATAGGGTGGGCTCCACAGCTGAGTTCCTGTGGTCAGAGATAGTTGGTGGCAGGGACAACATTCCCACTCTCCTGAGACGAGCAAACTCACGTACACACAACTTGGTGTGTAAAGCCCCAGGAACAGGGCCTTGTCCTCCTGTAGTGTGTGCATGAGGAATCTTGGTTGTTCTCACTGGGGAAACAGGGGCACCTGAAGAACTGTGTGTATGGGGGTGGCGGAGAGGAAAGAAGACCTCAGCTTGTGCCTTCCTCGCCTCTTTCTTCACCCCACCCCTCCATAGGTGGGCAGAGCAGTGAGGCGGGTGTCTGCTGGGACATGGCATTTGCTGGGGCCGAGGGCTTTCTTTGTGGGCACACTTCTTTCCTCCCACCGGCTATGGCGGCTCACACGCTGTTTCTGTTCCCCAGGGAGAAGGATGGCATCCGGAAGGCCCGTGAGATCCTGGTGCGGCTGGGCCTGGACCCGACACATGAGGACTGCGTGGCCACTCATCGGGTCTGCCAGATCGTGTCCACACGCTCAGCCAGCCTGTGCGCTGCCACGCTGGCGGCCGTGCTGCGGCGCATCAAGGAGAACAAGGGCGTGGACCGGCTGCGCTCGACTGTTGGGGTCGACGGCTCCGTCTACAAGAAGCACCCCCAGTGAGTCAGCACGCGGGGCCTCCGAGAGGCCTGACCCCGCAGGGACTCTGCGTTGCACTGTGGGGGTGGCGGAGATGGACCACGCATCGAGGTTCTTTGTGGAATGAAAGCTCCCCGCTGGGCAAGTGGGAGCTGGAAGTGTGTTTCCTCGGCATGGGTGGAGGCTTTCCTCGGAGCTCTCCTGGCTTCTAGGGGCTCCTTTTTTGTACTTTCTCAGTTCCAGCTTTATCTGGCTCACCTGGGTATTGAATTAATCCTGCCCTGCCGTCTGTGTTTTGATCCCTTGGTCATAAGTGCTTAAATATTCAAATTTCAGTTGGGACTTGAAAGATATTTTTCTATGGTACCCACTTAGCTCATCATTTTCACCTAATAAGAACACTAGGTCAGTGGCCCTTCATTAACTGAAGGGGAATGTGGAGGGTCTCAGCCCTTGCATGCCCTAGGCTCCTAGTCCAGTGCTTCAGAAACTTTAAAGTGCACACAGATTACTAGAGGATCTTGTTAAGCGGCAGATTCTGATTCAGAAGGTCTGGGTTCAGCCTGAGATCCTGTGTCTCTAGTAGCACCCAGGGATGCTGCCAGCGCATGGGCCACACTTGGAGTAGAAAGGCCTTGGAGACCGTGGCTCCAAGCAGCCACCACACAAATCCTCAGCTGTTCAGATATCTCCGGGGTTCTTGGCAGAAATCAGCCAAAGAGAGGCCGAAGTCTAGAAGATCATTTTGACGTTTCTGTTTTTGGGTCTTTCCTAGGCAGCATCTGCTGAAATGATGAAACATGAATAGTAGTTGGTGTCAGAATCACCTGAGGCTGATAAGTTGGGCAGAGGAGCTGGGGCCTGTGAGGAGGGGGGTCTTCTTTGAGTTTGTGCAGGAGATGGTGGCTTCCCAGAAGGGTCCTTCCCTTTTCACAGGGGTTGCAGTTAAATATTTTGAGCTTTCAAACAGTGACCCCCAACCTGGGAAGGAGTAGGGAGAGAGTGTTTAGGGTGTCATTTGGGCTGAGGTGGTGAGCTACTGCCCCAACCCTTTGTACCACTGGCCCTCCCTGTGGGCAGCCCACTCTTACCCCATCTCTGTGATCGCAGTTTTGCCAAGCGTCTTCACAAGACCGTGCGGCGCCTGGTGCCCGACTGTGACGTCCGCTTCCTCCGCTCTGAGGATGGCAGCGGCAAGGGGGCCGCCATGGTGACGGCGGTGGCCTATCGACTGGCCGACCAGCACCGGGCCCGCCAGAAGACCCTGGAGTCTCTGAAGCTGAACCGTGAGCAGCTGCTGGAGGTCAAGAGGAGGATGAAGATAGAGATGGAGCGAGGTCTGAGCAAGGAGACTCACGCCATTGCTCCTGTCAAGATGCTGCCCACCTACGTGTGTGCCACCCCTGATGGCACAGGTACGCAGTAGGGCCGCCACCCAGCTCACAGGCTCAGTCACTCCAAGAGGACTCCCTTAGCCTTCGCATTAGGTGATCAGGTCAGATTGTCGCAGGTGTTTCTTCAGCTGTAGTACTGGGAAATTCTGGTGTCCAGTGAGCTCGACCAAAGTACTCCTTTGCTAAAACTGAACAGTGAGTGGTCTTGGTAAGTGCTTAATGAATGCTTACTGTGTGTCCAGCGCTTCTCTAAGCATTCCACACATATAAATTCATTTAATCTTCAACTGTTAACAGACACTGATAGTTAATTTTTCTTTGTCAACAAGCTATTATGTTTTACACAAAACCTAGGCGCAGGGAAATTAAGAAACCTGCCCAACTTCACATAGCTAGAAGATGGTAGAGCTGGGATTCAATTCTAGGAATTTTGGTTCCAGGGTTAGATCTTATAAGGTCAGGGGCTGGCAAACTTAAATCCATGGTCTAAATCTAGCCCACTGCCTATTTTTACAAATAAAGTTTTATTAGTACACAACCATGCCCATTTGCTTACATATTGTTTATGGCTGCTTTGTGCTACCAGGGACACGTTGTATTGTTGCACCCTAGTCCAGCCAGGTCTCGCTCCTCTAGAGAGGGGAATGCAGTGCCTCCCTCTTGCAGCTGCCTGAGGGTTGCATGGAAACTGTGATTGAGGCATGTAGTGCCTTGTGACTGTCCTACAAAGGAGGGTTTTCTCATTTAGAAAAATTTCCCTTCAGTTTTCTTTAAAGAGTTGGACTCCATTGTTCCTTCTCTCTTCTCTATTCTGGAACCTTATGTAAGGTGGCCTTTGATTTTGTACAGGTGGCATGTTTGGATATTTTGGAGTGTACCGTATCACCATTTCTTTCCTGTGTTCTGGAGCTCATTGTAATTCCTGGGATCCCGCAACTTGAATTCATTTGAGAACCACAAAGGAGCCAGGAAATCTCTAATCATGGGGTTCTTATTTTCTTTATCATTAGGTGGAGCTTACTGTCTATCATGGAGAAGGAAATGGCAACCCACTCCAGTATTCTTGCCTGGGAAATCTCATGGACAGAGGAGCCTGGTGGGCTACAGTTCATAGGGTTGCAAGAATCGGACACAACTTAGTGACTAAACCACTGTCCATTATCCCAAGATTGTCCAGGCCTCCTGGGAGAGCTCCCCATTAGGGGAAAGTGACTGTCACTCTCTTTAGCCCCAGTAAATTATCTTCCTTGGCTTACTTTCCAGAGAAAGGAGACTTCCTGGCCTTGGACCTTGGGGGTACCAATTTCCGGGTGCTGCTGGTGCGTGTCCGGAACGGGAAGCGACGCGGAGTGGAGATGCACAACAAGATCTACTCTATCCCGCAGGAGGTCATGCACGGCACGGGGGATGAGGTGAGACGGGCGCACCTCTGGGGGTGCTCCAGGAGACTCCCCCTTCTCACCCGGGGGGACAGTGCTTTCTCTGCTTTCACCCCTGGTCCTGGGGAGGAGTAGGTGGGCTAGGGCTCTGGCTGGCCTTACCTAAGAATGTGCCCGAGCTGGCATTTCTCTTGGGTAGAGGCCCAGAGCCGGTGTTCAGGCCCTGCTGGGTGCAGCCTGCCCTGGCCAACCCACCCTCCCGTCCCCACCCACCACCCCACTCAGAGCCCACCTTCTCCTTACAGCTCTTTGACCACATCGTCCAGTGCATTGCGGACTTCCTGGAGTACATGGGCATGAAGGGTGTGTCCCTGCCTCTAGGTTTCACTTTCTCCTTCCCCTGCCAGCAGAACAGCCTGGACGAGGTAACAGTGCTTTCCTAGAGGGCTCTCCTATGGTCTGTACTAACTCTGAACCAGCCAGGGTTTTAGAGCAAGGGAGAAAGCTGACCCAAGAGGAAGAAAAGAAGGGCATTAGTGATCAGTCATGGGGAAGGGCTTGTTGATGGGAATGAGTAAGTCAGAGCTGGTGAGAGTCAAGTAGGAATAATGATCTTTGGGATAATGATGACAATCCTAATAATAACAATAATTGGCATTTTTTAAAAGTATTTTGTGCAAGGTACTCTGCTAGGTTTCGTCATTTAACCCTCACAGCAACCATATAAGGTAGGTGTGCCCTACCTTATAAGGTTTGTGTGCCCATTTTGCAGAAAGGAAAACAAGGTCTACAGAGATGCCAAGTATCTTGCAGGTCATATAGCCTGCGAGTGGCTAAGCCATGATTTCATTCCAGTTTCTTGACACATGAGTCCATGCTGTCAGTTATGCTCAGCTGTTCCTGAGGCCCCTGTTTTGGGCTCAGGGCATTTCACTCCATCTCCTGTTTGGATGTCATATTTCCCTAGTATCACCTTTGCTTTTTATTCCCTGTCAGCTTGCCTTGGATGAGTGAAGCAGGGGATAAAGATCTGGTGCTCTCACAGCAGACCTTGTGTCACTTATGAGTTTTGTAAACGCCTCCTAGGCCTCCCCTCTGAGAGTTAAATTTACCGTG